GTGTTTGTGTATTCTTGTTTGGATATTTTTTGTGCAATTGTTGGACAAAATGACTTGCTGTGGCATTAATTGCACTAATAGAGCGTTCAAGGAGTCTCCACTTCATTTTTTTCGGTAAGTAAAATTATATTTATGTATTTTAGGTCACTGCCGAGCTGAGCTTAGATTTTAACATGTACTGTTTAACCATGAAATTTAAATGTAATAGGGTAAAACCCAGTGCATTTAACATAATGCTGCACTTTAGAAAATGGTTTGAATTATAACATGTTGGTGGAGCTGGGTTCCGACTATCGGCTTGTGGAGCTCTCGGGAGACCTTTGTTTTCCACCCGTTTCTCCCCTCCTCGCAGCTCGGTGCATCTCTGTCTGCTGCGCTGGCTGCCGGCTTGTGAAGGTCTCGGAGACCTCTGTGTTCCACCCGGTTTTACCCAGCGGTCAGCCTGGCGTATCTCTGACTCAGAAGCTCTGGTGTTGTGTACAGTTAACTCCGGTTGTAGCTAGGTTGCTACCTCCGTTAGCTTAGCTCCCACCTCCGTGTTAGCTTTGGGTTAGCTTCAGGTTAGCTTGTAGCTAGTTCCACCGGGTGTCGTCAGTTGATCCCAGCCTTACAGCCCCACCCTCAGCTCCACCTCTCTTCCCTTTTGTGGAATTGTCTGGGCTTGACGGAACCTGTGACACGGTCAAAATGGCGGTGGTGGCCACCTCCCATTTATCTTCAAAATGTGTTATTGGAGCCTATGGAAACCCATTGTCCAATATTTATATGTTGATGGTTATGTGTAGCAAACATTTGAGCTGACCATTCATTGCGACATTGATCTGTTCTTTGCACATGCTGGTATTGCGATAACGATATATTTGCGATACATTGTGCAGCCCTAGTATCCATGTTAAAACGTATCCCAGTTACAAAAACACAATAGTAAATACTCTATTGTGGACTGGACACGACTGTGGCGGCAGGATATATAGTGCTATGCCCTCTGCTGTCCTGGCGGGGAATTACTTCGCAATTAACACCCCCCAGCTGACGGAGAGGTCTACATCCGTGCGTGTGCACGCTCCAGCTGATGGAGACGTATAAATCAGCAGCACACTTCATGCTCCTGGCCTGGTTTCCTGCTTCTGGTGTTTATTACAGTGCCACCTAAAGGCCTAGTGTAGTTACTGCAGCTGTACGAACAAAACCATTTATAGAAATGACGAGACCATTTTGGAGGAGCTGCATTTCAAGGTGGCCCATTAGGCCCGAATCTAGACGTTTACCGACATGGACCAATCAGCTTCCAGACAGAATCGGTTCATACGACATTTTCATGAGTTTTACTTCCGTCTGAGTCGACATGCTGCCTTTTTGTTGTTTAGTGAAAAACTCTCCAAACTTGTCTCCAACTCCTCCCAAAGCCATCTCACGTCTGCACTTCCTGGTTCTGAGACATGAAAGGCTCCTCACTGGTTCCTAGAAATAACTGTTGTGTAAACTTTTCAAACGTCTTCAAATTTCCAGTGACAGCAGATGGTTCCTGAGACTGCACAAGGAGGCCACAAGCCCTCGAGAACGTTTTGAGACGTTGTTAAACCCCCCCACCCACGAGAGACACTGGCTTCAGTTCATAAATTGCTCTGACCATCTCTCTGTAACCTCATCACAAACAAGTTGCAGGTCAACACAACACCCCCCACCCCTCCACACACACACCACCACCCCCACCTCAGAATGGGGGCCATCTGCTTTGACTAGCGAGGGTTGACATGACGGCAGCTGGCTGAATAAAAACACAAAGTTAGGGAAGAGAGGACAGTTTAAAACTGTTCTGTTGGAGTAAATTAGCATAACTAAAGGGATGGTCCACCAGAGCATACCAGGGATCTGTCCTAAACTCAGAACAAAACTAAATAAAGTCTTCATATAGAAATTCAACAACTAGAATGATTTTCTCCTCTGAGACCAAAACCTTCCTCCATCATCTCCTCCTCCTCCTCCTCCTCCTCCTCCTCCTCCTAGACCTCCATCAGACCTGCCTGGCCAGAACAATCCTTCCCCCTCCCAGAACACCTTTTCCCTACAGCGAACCCCCACCCTGCTCTCCCCTCTGCTGTCAAATGTGCCCCCCCCCTCCTGGCATAGCCTCCCTCCCCCTCTCTTCTTGCCTTTATTTAACCCCCCCCCCCCCCCACACACACACACACACACACACACACACGCATGCACGCACACACACACACACACACACACACCCAGCCACCTGGCTTCATTCGTCTTTCTGCATCCATTAAAATATTTTGAGTATTTTGTTAATTTTCATAATTAAATGTAATTTTTTTTCTTCACGACTGTTTTTGTTTTTAATAATAAATTATCTGACTAAGGTTGTGTTCAGGCTGCTTCTGATTGGCTGTCGGTACCTTCCACTCCAGACGGATGAGCTGTGAAGAACCACACACTAAACTGCAGCTTTTGCCCAGAGAGCTGATCCAGGATCTGCTTCTCATCTGGTTCTCCTTCATCTTCTAAAGGATAATCTGCTCCAGTTCCCGTGTCATTTCACCTCCTCGTCTTCTCCGTTCCTCCTCCTGCAGCTGGAAGGAAATCTGCAGGAGCAGAGACGGAGGTGAGGGAGGTGTCGGGATGGAACAATGCCTTTAGTCTGAGGAGAAAGGGAAAAAGCCAAGCAGCCAGGAGGAGGAGGGTCAGCCGGAGGTGGCTCTGCTCGCTGCACTTCCTGATATCTTCTTTCTTTGATTCTGAAGAACACCACCAAGTGGCACAGAGCAGAGATAACAGCTGTGAGTGGCGTCGGTTCGAATCAAACTTTATTAGAACACAAATACAGACGCAGTCTTTCAGTTTATTTCATCTGGTAACACTTTACAATAAGGGTCCATTTAATAATTGTTACTTAGTGCATTATTAAGCGTTAATAAACAATCAGTCCTTTAATAACACTCCTGATATTATCCTTAAGGTTAGGACTGAGGGGTGGGGGGTGTGCTTTGTAATGCATTACTTAATATAACATTAATATTACGCAGTTATTACTTTGTTTAATAGTTTATTAATGCTTAATAATGCACTAAGTAATATTAATAAAGGGACCCTTATTGCAAAGTGTTACCGTTCATCCTTTATTCTTAATTATTCTGTCAGCAAGCTAGGTACGGTCATCATCTCCTCGTTGGTTTGAATCCTAAAAACTTTTAAAGTAATTTTTTTAATTGGTAAATTCATAATTAAGTCGGATCTGTCCTTAAAGGAGAACGTTTAGAGAAACGATGGTGTTGTGGTGAACTTGGTCAGACGTCTGGCGCTGTTGTTGTTGTTTGACCCACATCTTCATGAGTGGCTGGTCAGCTCTTTGGTGACATGAACTGGTCTGGAAGGTTGAGTTGAGCTTCTGAGAACTCTGGGTGTGGCTCTGAAGGCTCCGCCCACTCATAAACACCTGATGGTGTTTATAAGTGGGCGGTCTGACTCCAGCGGTCTGAATTTGTTGTTCATGCTGATCAGCTGTGAATGAGGTTGACCACAACAGTGAATCAGCTGTAGATATTTCTGTTAATTCTGTATTTTTGGGCTCTTGTCAATCTTTTTTAATTTTATTATTCTCCATCTCTTTTTTATCTTAGTTTTTCATCTTTCCTACATTTTCATCATGACCTTTTAAAATCATTTTGACACGTTTTTTGTTTTTATGAAGCACCTCTTTATTTTTATCCTGAGAGGCACTTTATAAAAATAACTTCCTCTTCTCTTCTTCCCTTCTCAACCGTTTACCCCCCATTACCGTAATGCTCTAAAGATAATGTTATCGATATATTCCTGCCATGTGTGGTGTGCTCAGAGCACTCTGGTCGGCTCAGAAGCATGTCGGTACTGATCGTGAATCAGGAGATCTAACGTTGTAATGTCTTGGGCAAATATCATAGACAAAAATCCTGCAATGTGAACCCGGACACACACACACACACACACACACACACACACACACACACACACACACACACACACTCTGGGAGCCAAAACCTTTCCATTGACAGCCATTATTGTTGATGGGAATCAGAGCTAAGTCATGTTGGCTACAGGATCGTTTTAGTTAGATAACTTTATAATCTTATTATAACATTTTTATTAATTGTAGTTAAATCATGTAATAACTAAAATAATGACTATTACATTTGTTAAAATATGGCTATGATGCATTCATGGCCCTAAAAGAACCCAATCAGCTGATGGCAGCTGTCAGCACGGTGGTGGAGCATGATGGTTTGAGCTGGTTCTGTTTACCTGTAGGTATTTGTGTGTGTGTGTGTGTGTATATATTTGTATGTGCATGTATGTGTGTGTATATGCTTATGTATATATATATATATATATATATATATATATACACATTAGTGTGTGTGTGTGTAGGTTGTGTGTATGTGCTTATGTATATATGTATGTGTGTGTCTATGTTTGTGCATATGTGTGTGTGTGTGTGTATGTCTATATGTGCGTACCTGTGTGTGCGTGTGCATATGTGTATGCGCATACGTGTGTATATGTGTGCGTGTGTGCAAATGTGTGTGTGTGTGTGTGTGCATGTGTCTGTATTTGTATGTGTGTGCATATGTATATGTATGTGTGTGCTTATGTATATGTGTGTGTGTGTCCACTCAGACTCCAGAGTTCATTTTTTATTTTTTATTAAGATTATAAACTTTAACAAATACTTTATTGAACAGTTTCACCCGGAGATAAACATTTTATTAAGCACAAAAATACAAGAATAAGAAGAAAATCTGTAGAGAATGGCTGAATACTCTCTTTATTTTGGTACACATAGTGCTCATAAAGCTACCGCTCGATTCGGTTTGGTTCTGGTCCATTCACCAGGTCCCTTTTTAAAACAAAAGGAATCAAAGAGCAACGTTGAACCATCAGAACCATCAGCTGATGTAGGGCCTGGGTTCAAAGGTGGTGGTGGTGGTGGTGGTGGTGGGGGGGGGGGGGGGGGGGGGTTTGGGACACATTCAGTCTCTGAGTCCGGCTAGCAGCAGTGAGCATCAGGTTTAAGGCAGGAAGCCCATCCAGGTCCGGTTCTGGTTCCCCTGTAAAGGTACACCAGGGGGCGGGGCTCGGTTTATCCAATCAGATCTGAGCGACAGAATCTCCCAAATTGCTCATCTTAAGACACAGGTGTGTTCTGAGGTATAATTCTGTCCCGCGTGCTGACCAGGACGCTGAATCTGGGTTCCCAGAAACTCTTGCCACGTTCTCATCCGGGTCCCGTCGGGTCCTGGTCTGTCGGAATGTGCAAATCATGATCTGTGAGGTCTATAAACTGATGGTCCCGAACCGAGCCCGGCCCGGTCCGGTCCACGTCAGATAGTTTTTGACTCAGAACGCCACGATGGCCCGGGTCCAGGCTCCAAGACTGGCCAGCGCCTGCTTGCTACAGATCTGCTCCAGGTCCGCCTGGCGGCTCAGCAGACCCGAAAACCCCGAACCGAAGATGGAAATCAGGTTCGAGATGTTGGACGTGTCCGTGTAGTTTGGATCGGTACACTCCTCCCGTCTCACTCGCTTTCTGGACGCAGTAAAGTCCGAGACCTCCTCCAAGTCGGACGCGCAACACCCGAAGTCCCCCTTCCGTTTCCGGACCGGAGAGTCCGGCACCGGTGCGCACTGCGGCGCGGAGCAGCAGCAGTCCTGGTGCAGGTACCGGTTCTCCACCGTGGTCACCACATGCGTGTCCAGGTCCAGCACGGTGGTTTTGTTGCAGTGGCTGCCGTTACCGGCGAACGGGTCGCAGGGAGACCCCGGAGTCTCCATGCAGCAGCTCCGGTAGAACGAAGTCTCCGGTTCCTTCCCGCCGCCGTCCTGGAGCGGAGCGCAGCACGAGAGCGCCGCCACCTCTAGATCCTCCTCCTCCGCGTCCTCCGGCTCCGGGTCCAGAGGATTCAGCTCCTGGATCTCGTTGCAGACCGTCATGACCTCCTCGTACTGCTGCATCCGGTAGATCTCCGCGTACTTCTCCTTGATGTAGACCTGCCGCGCGTTCCTCAGCACGTAGGAGACCAGCAGGTTCTTGTGCAGCTTGATGCCCCCTCTTTGGGTTCTGGAGTTGTGGATCTTCATCAACGAAATGGAGATGAGGCTCTGCGCGTCCACGGCGCACTCCATGGTCCCCCGGTCCTCCTGTCGGGGAGAACGGAACCGAGTCTCACTTATCTGAGCGGAGCTCGTGTGGTTCTCAGAGGGTTGGAGTCAGCAGTGAGCGGAACCATGGAGCCGCTGAGACGCACGTTCAGTTACAGAGCCGAGCTCAGCGCTGGTGTACTTATGCGCAGCTTAGATCCCGCCCAGTTCAGCACCCGCCAATCAGCTGGCTTCGTTCTGCTGAGTGACAGGTTAGCGCAGCAAGAACAAGTCCCTCTGGACCAATCAGCTTCAGGCGGTCCCTCTGAACTATTCAAAATCCACCAGACAGTCTGACAGGAATGTCCCGAGTCCAGTTACTGTTCGGATCTGGTCTCGGACCCGAACAGAACCCAGAATCCAGAGCCACACAAGGGTTCTGGTTTACATCAACTCAAACCACAGCAGCCGAACCGGGACGAGTTTAAGTTCGATCAGAAAACAACACACGCGCGCACACGGACACTCACGCGCAGTCTCACACACGCGCTCACACGGACTCTCACACACGCGCGCACATGGACACTCAGGCGCAGTCTCACACATGCGCTCACACGGACTCTCACGCGCAGTCTGACACGCGCACACGGACACACGCGCAGTCTCACAGACGCACGTACACACAGATGCTCACACATGCGCGCACATACGGACACACACAAACATGCGCAGTCTCACACACGCACGCACTCCAACACACACGCATTCTCTCTCTCTCTCTCTCTCACACACACACACACACACACACACACACACACACACACACACACACACACACACACACACACACACACACACACACGAGATAAAAGTCCCGCTGGGGTCATGACCTCTGATGATGAAACATCACAAACAAATAAAAATGAACGCCAATGATGAGTTTTATGGGATTTTCACAATAAAAGCCCTGCTGTCATCAGGAATCCTTCATGTTTAGGACACAAGCTGCCAGTGAGTCAGCTGATCAGACAACATTAGTTTCCTGTACTAAGAATCAGAACAGCAACAGGCTCCACGAACCTGAGGATGTCCACAGTTCCCCTCAGACAGGAAGTCAGCGCTTTGGCTGTGGTGCAGAAAGACCTGATGGCCTCTAGATGGTGGCTCAGAAAGTCCCCTTCACCCCCACCCCCCAATGCTTCATGTGCAGACGAGGGTCTGTTTAGTGTGTGCAGATGCTCTTCTTATTGACAGCTGCCTCAGCCAATCACAGCAAGCCAAAGGTTTTAGATGATAAGGGGTCCAGCCTAAAAGCAACGTGATTTTATGTGGCGGTGTGAGTCTGCGTGGTCCTCAGGAGCCTCCATGAGGTCGCCGGTCCTCCTCTCAGATCCTGTGTGTTTATTATTACATGTTGAGTGATCTTCCTGCACCAAAACAGATTGCCTGTGAGTGTAAAAACTGACCTGGTAACAAAGCTCATTCTGGTTCTGGTTCTGATCCTCCAGACCCCGCGATGAGCCCCAGATCAAGCTCCCATCCTGTGCATGCAGTAACCTGACTTGGACCTGTAGAGGCCAGTGCAGCACCAGTTTTGTCCCGAGTGATTAGTGTTTTTGTTATTCTGTCTGAGTTCTGCCTTTGAGGTGAGGTGGGCGGCCGGGCCTGCTGCTGCAGCCCGCAGAGAGGAACCTCATCGTGGAGATGGAGCAGGAGCTGGGACCTCGCTGAGGGACGTGGGGAACATCTGCTTGTAATGTTCTCTGTGGAAGATGAATGCACACACACACACACACACGCACGCACGCACACACACACACACACACACACACACACACACACACACACACGCACACACATGCACAAACACACATACGCACGCACGCACACACACACACACACACACGCACACACACACGCACACACATGCACAAACACACACACACATACGCACGCACGCACACACACACACACACACACGCACGCACGCACACACACACACACACGCACACACATGCACAAACACACACACACACACACGCACGCACGCACGCACACACACACACGCACACACATGCACAAACACACACACACACGCACACACATGCACAAACACACACACGCACACACATGCACAAACACACACACACACACACACACACACACACTAGTCTTTTCTTCCAGAGGAGGTTGCTGTTTGCAGAGAGGAGCGAAGTCTGCGGCTCCTAGATGGAGATGGATCATGTGACCATGGCGGATCAGAACAATAATCACAGGAAGGAGACAAACGTGGTGGAAATCTTCCCCCAACAGCAGCTTAGTGACAATAAACGAGTCTTTGTTTTAAAAAGTAGAATAAAGACGAAACTCTGTTTTGTTTCTTCCAACAGAACCTGTTACACGTTGGACGCGAAGTCCGTAAAACCATCATCATTCGATTTTAACTTGTTGGTTTTCATGTCTAAGCGTGGAATTTTAACCCGCTAACCAGCAGGTTAGCCGTAGCCACAGCTCATGTAGCTAACGCCAAAGCTACACAACACAAACTTCTGAATGAAGGACTTGTGTGTAAATGTTTAGTAACATTTTATAAGAACCCTTATTGTCCCAAACGAATGTAAATGTCCTGTACTCATACAGCGCCTTCTACAATTGTACAACCCCCCAAGGTGCTTTACAACATGTCATTCATCCATTCACTCCATGGTGGTGATGAACTGCGTCGTAGCCACAGCTGCCCTGGGACCCACTGATGGAGGCGAGGCCGCAGTGCACGCACTCCGGCCACCTCCAACAGGCAAGAAGGGTGACGTGCCTTGCTCAAGGACACAACTGGGACTCGACAGGACTCAAGCCTGCAACCCTCCAGTTTCAGGGCAGGCACGTAACTCCTCTTCCGCAGTTAGCCTGAAGTGTGCAGACTGATTCTTAATGCAGGCTGGGTTAGCATTCAAGCTAGGTTGGTGTGCTAGCTAAAGGAGGCCATGCAGTGCATGTTGGGAACTGGGGTGCACTCTTGCCGAGTGACTGCTCCCTCTTGTGGTTATGCGTATCTATTGGACAACTGCGCGTGATGATTGGTTTACGTGTAGAGGCCAGGGGAGGGGCTTAGGGGTGGGCAGAGTCACCAGGTACCCCAGCAGCGGGGACCTTTATTCCACCAGAGTCTGTGTAGAGGCTCATCTCCGGATCCTTTAATGATGTCAGCAGCGGTTCAGCAAACCAGCAGCTCGACGCCTGTAGGACAGAGAAGAGCTCAGACTGTGGACATTATGGGTCGTATTAAACTTTTAGGTTATGAAACAGATTTTTACCCGTACTTCTACAGAAACTTGATTCCTCTGCCCCCCCATGCTCGTGTTCCACTGCGGTGCCTTTCTATTTTCAGTCTGTCCTCGTTGCATCTGCACTCCCCTGCTCACAGCCATCCTCCCACCCTCGCCTCATCCTTTCAGCCTCGCTCTACTGTCCTTTTAACGCTCCTCTGTGTGCTCTCTTATTTTCCACCCCTTGGTGTCTTCCTAAGCATGTTTATTCCTCCCTGTGAGCCGAAAGAGGGCTGATGCTGAAGCTGCCCTTGCTTCTCTCCGGTTTTCTAGAAGCTGCTGCATCCTTGCATCTAGAAGTCGTTCCTTCCTTTGTGTCGCGTTGTAGCTGCAGACTCTAATTTCTGCTGCCCTCACTCTTCTGCTCCCCTCTGTTCAGATGGGCCCGCTCACTTTAGGAATACTAGAGAAGTGTTTGTGTTTGTGGAGATGAGGAGGCTGGTGATTTATTTATGAAATGCTGCATCACTTCTCTTCAAGCCCTGAAGTTTTCCAGGGAAGTTCTTCAGGTCGATGATGTGAAACACGTGTGAGATGCCGCTGAAAGGATTTTTAAATACAGCTTTAAAGAAAACCGCATGTCTGTGATTGGCCATCAGAGTCGTGAACATTACGGGATGTAAACTATTGTGTCTGCCTGCAGGAAGGTTGATTCAGCTTCCATTTAACACCTAACTTAGTCTCCGATGTAATCTTTTAGAGAAATGTTTTGATTAGACTGCGTGAGGATGGAAACTGTTCGGAAGGATGGGGTCACCATAGCAACCCCCTCTGATGATGCTAGCAACGTGGTGGTAATTACCAGAATACGTTCAGGTCAGGTCATCAGAGCGGCTCTGCGTTTGATTTCTGTTCTCTGAAACGCGTTGACGTGATATCTGCTGTCGGAGCGTGTTCCGTCTGGTTTCAGGGAGTCGTTTTGGTTTCTGCGTAAAGGCTTCTGCCGAGGAAGGAGGCGCTGGTTAATGTTGTGTTTATGTGGCCAATCAGACGTTGGTTCTGCACACAAACGAGCTGAGTTGGGCTTCTAACATTATAAAAGTTATTTATTGTTACAAATTACTTTTTCCCAAAAGTAATTGAGTTAATAACTCAGTTACCAGACTGTAAAAGTAATTAGTTACCTAGAAAAGTAACTGTGACATTACTTTTATGTTCTTTAACTGAGTCAGGTTCTTTCTATAAGACTGAATGATTCTCGCTGTCTAGAACAAAGGCGTCAGATGTCTGGAATGTTCAGGAACAACGGGACCATACATATCTGGAGGTCTGACTGTTGATTAAATGTAAAAATGGCTTTCCTGACCTGTTTTCTATCATCTCCTCACCTTTCTGAAAGGCCCTTTTTTTCCTTTCTCTGTCTTTTATGTGATTATATTCCCTGGCAACTTCCTTCCTGCTTTCACAGCGATCGGAACTGCGGCTCACTCCGGATCCGATCGGCTCTAAGTCGCTTCGTTCACGTCTGACACATCCGATCCGATCCACTTTTATTTGTAAAGCACTTTATACACAACACTATCGACCAAAGTGCTTCACACACAGATAAAAACATACCAACGTAATTAAAAATTGTAAAAACATGGATCATATATTAAACATATGAAAACATCATAAAAGAAATAAGACACAACACTGCTTAAAGACAGGAGTGAATAAGAATAATCAGTCGGTGTTAAAATCCCGTGAATAAGCGTGAGTCTGGAGGAGCGACTTAAAACCACCAGAGAAGATGCCTGTCTAATGATGCCTGGAAGCTGGTTCAAGTCCAGGTGCAGCAGCGGAGACGGACCTATGTCCTCTCAGCTTCAGCCTCGTTCTTGGAACTGCCAACTGCTGCTGGTCAGCCGACCTCAACTGGCGAGTTGGC